GTTATGAAGTGGAGGATTAGATCTACAAATATGTGCGGCGGCATAAATCCTCCAGATGAGGGGGGGCCGGGACCAGGCTGATTTCTTCCCATCTCCTTTTTTCCCGTTCAACCTTCCATCACACCTTCATCCCTCCATCTGCTTACCTCTGAACCCCCGTCTCCCTCTCCATCTGATCAAAAGTCACCTTCCAGCTTCCCTCTTGGGTTCACTTTCCTCCCCCCCCCCCCCCCCCCATCCGCTAGCACCTGTGGCAAAGTCAGCCTGCCCTTTTCACTCATCCCTCCCCGTTCCCCCGCGCACAGGCGTCCAGGGATCTGACAAAAAAAACCTCTTTGGATTATGGATCGTAAAACAAATGAAGACGCACGCCGGGAAATGCTTTCTGGAAACTTCCTTAACACTCACGGTGGCACAAAGTCAGACGCACGAGTCGTAGTTGAGACATACGGCCAATGGGAGCGCAGCAGACATCTACCTGGCTTGTGTAATGATGGACACATCTTGATTTACTTTGTGCGTGACGTCAACAACCCCAAAAGAGCCGCTGCTTTCAGGGCTTTTTCATTTCAAAACGTGTTCCTGGAAACATAATTTTTTTTGGCGTTTTCCATTCGAGAAACTGTCAAAGCGCATGCCAAGCTTTCGGGGGGCGGGGGGTCTGATCTGGATCACGACAAGCATCCGCGCGCACAACCCTGTAACCATGACGATGCACATGCGGGCATCAAACTAACTCCCGCGCGGCGCTTTATGGAGGCAGATGCACGAGGAGGATAATAAACACACAAAAACCCACACGCAGAAACACACGTTCCAGGGGAGGAGGCACACTTCCAGAGTTCAGCCGCCCGCCCACTAACGCTCCCACACAGGTGCAAAACAGAGGAGTCAGATCAGAAACAAGACACGACGTCCCATTTTCTGTCATTTATCTCATTCAGATAATAAAGCTGAAATGACCGACCAATTACTTGAAAAAATATATATATATTTTTGCTGTCTTTCGGGGACATCTGTGAACACTTTTTCTCATCATATGACAAAATTCTGAGTTTCAGGATTCAAACTTTACTGGCAAAATGGGATTTATTAATTAGTCTGTAAGTAAATAGAAGTGGCAGAGGGGGGCTTATCTTTAGGCTGTTTATTCAATGCTGACCAACTTTTTTCATCTTAGAGGAAAACATCTCTTTGGGGACTTTTTCGAAGGGCTTTTTTAAAAGACATAATTG